CATGTCTGCTCTTCCCTCACCTGCTGTCTGCTGCTCCCCTCACTCACCAGGTAGCATGTCTGCTCTTCCCTCACCTGCTGTCTGCTGCTCCCCTCACTCACCTGGTAACATGTCTGCTCTTCCCTCACCTGCTGTCTGCTGCTCCCCTCACTCACCAGGTAACATGTCTGCTCTTCCCTCACCTGCTGTCTGCTGCTCCCCTCACTCACCAGGTAGCATGTCTGCTCTTCCCTCACCTGCTGTCTGCTGCTACCCGCACTTCACTCACCTGGTTCAGCGATGCTCGGATGAATTTAGGGCTGCAGTTGCCCGTGTCGCGGACCACAAAGGATGACGTGGCAGCCTGTGATAGGGGGAGAAATAGTGTGCAAGAGCACAGGAGAAGGAGGTTAGAAGGTTGGCCGTCCCATTGACCCTCGACTCAAAGAGAAACGCGTCAGCAGGAGGGGCAGGAGAAGGCGGGCGACCCCTGCTTCGGGCAGGCAGGCGGGCGGGAGGGCAGGAGGGGGCGGGCGGGGGGATTGATTCGGGTCGATCCGGGACCCTGGGGGCGACCCCTGCCGGCCTGACTGGACTATATATACCACCCATGGTTCCAGAAACAAACAAACAAACACTCTTACTCATAGAATAGAAAAACCACCCCTGGTCCCAGACACAAGGGATAGCATGCAGGGTGAGGAGCAAGCAGCATCACTCGCTGGAGGCAGGTTCGCGGTGCCATTCACTCGTTGCCTCGAACAGAAACGTGTCCGCAGGAGTCTAGTTTTGAGGCGCCTCAAAGCAGCATCACTCACTGGAGCAGGTTCGCGGTGCCATTCACTCGGAGTCTCGAACAGAAACGCGTCCGCAGGAGGGGCGGGCGCGGGATCTGATTGGGTCGATCCGGGACCCGGGGGCCGACCCCTGCTGGCGGGCGCCTGCCCTGTGAAGGGCGCCATGGGCTGGCGCGCGCCCATGGAGGGGGAGTGGGGCTGGGCTTCCGCCATGCCAGGGGACTGGGGGTGCGGGACATGCCAGGGGCTGGGCGGGGGAGGAAGGGACGGGGAGAGGAGGAACGGGGCGAGTGGGGAGATTAGAGCGCAGACCTCCGCTGGCCGGGCGCCTGCCCTATGAGGGGCGCCATTGCGCTGGCGCGCGCCCATGGAGGGGCGAGTGGGGCTGGGGGGCATGCCAGGAGACTGGAGGTGAGCGCCCATGCCAGGAGGCTGCGCACGGGGGGGAGTTCGGGGGGAAGTTTGGAAGAGAGTACGGCGAGAGGGGTTGCTATGGCGCCTGTCATGTGAAGGGCACCACGGGCTGGCGCGCGGCCCATGGAGGTGAGTGGGGCTGGCTTCCGCCCATGCCAGGGGACTGGGGTGCGCGCCCACGCCAGAAGGCTGCGCACGGGGGGGGGGGGGGGGAGGGGAGAGGGGCAAAGGGGAAATAGAGGGGGAGCAAGTACAATCAGAGAGGTTGGCCGGGCGCCTGCCCTGTGAAGGGCGCCATGGGCTGGCGCGCGTTTATACAGGGGGAGTGCTGCTGGAGGAGCATCTGCTAGGGGATTGGGGGCGGGACATCCCAGGGGGCTGTCCCTGGGGGCTTTTGGAATCTCACCGAAGTTCCTATACGAAAACTGTACGTACCCTCCCCTCAGAAACCGAAAGCCCCTTAAATCGCAATCTACATTGCGAGCATTCCAAAATCCAAATCCCGTACACACAGAAGCTCCAACTCGTTCGATCCAAGCGCATCCAAGGATTTGCAGACATCGGGTGTAGAAGACTGCTCCTTAAGACGGAAACCGAAACAAAAAAAACATGCTCACATCACCGCTTCCAATGCACTCACCGCTCCAGTAGGCATGGGATAAGCGCGTCGCTGCGCCCCGCCAGCAGCGGGGGAAGCGCCGAAGGGAGGCGGAGGCCCGCGCCCGGCATCATCGCCCCGACAGGCGGAGGGCCTGTCGGGAGACCGGCGGAGAACGGCGGAGGCGGCGCATGCTGCGCGTACTGCCCTTGCGCGGAACCTGGGGGAGGCGCGTACTGCCCTGGCGCGGATCCTGGGGGTGGTGGGCTACCCATAGACATCGCGCTCATCTGCTGGGTTGGCGGAGCGGTTTGGCGTGGCGGCTCCCCCCCCAATGACGGCGGCGCAGCACCAGGCGGAGGGTGGAGGCGCACCGAAGGGGGCGGGGGGCTCCAGGCGCCGGTAACAGGTGCGCCTGGCTGCGCTGGCTGCGGAACTCCGTACGATGGCGGACCATATGGCGAAGGTCCGCTAGGCGGAGCGCGGGGTTGCGCCGGTGGCGGGGGGCCCTGCTGCTGCGGGGGGGTAGCCAGGGTACTGCTGCTGCGCACCAGGGTATCCAGGACGGGGGACCGGTGGGGCGCGGAGCGCCAGGGGGAGCGGCGCCTGGCGGAGCAAAACCCGGCGGAGGTCCGCCAACTCCTGGCGGAGGACCACCTGGGCGCGGTCCCCCCGCAGGTGGCCCGCCGAAAGGCCAGGCGGACGGACTGCTCCGCCTGGCGGGCCACCCGCGGGAGGCCCTCCGAAACCCGCAGGCGGACCCGCAAATCCAGCTGGCGGGCCTCGCGCGCCGGGCGGCGCAACACCAGGGGGAGGCGGACCTGTGGGGCGAGAACCTGGCGGAGGCCCCGCGAACGGTCCGCCGGGATATGGAGCACCAGGTCCCCGGGCCTTGCGCCAGGCTGTTGCGCGGGTTCCGGCGGACCAGGCGGAGCCTGTCCGGGACCAGGGGGCCCGCGCGGAAAACCAGGCTGTTGCGGGGGCTGCTGACCGGGCGGGTAACCGGGCCGCGCTGGGCGGAGCGGATCCAGGAGGCGGACCATAAGGGGGAGCGGCGCCGGGCGGAGGGGGACGCCAGCCCGGGGGAGGATTATGAGGCCTCATGGTTGGCGAATGCTACAGACAAATGCCAGGGACCCGATGTTACAGACTGATGTACAGATTGACGCTAAAGATTGATGCCACAGATTGCAGCTCTCAGTGCTCAGCGGGCTAGCTCCGGAACAAGCGAGACCGCGAAAATTGGCGGTTCGACTGAGTGATCGGACTAGATCCCTGAAGTGCCGATTAGGTCGCGAAGGATCTAGCTAATCGACAAACTAAGAATTCCAGCAAGTCAGGGGATGTCAGGAAAAAAGTTATGGAAGATCGGAGTGCGACGGGATCTCCATGCCAAAACCATAACCAAACCAAACCAAACCAAACCAGGTGCCTGCTGCTCTGGCAGGGCAAAGCTCAGTTGACTGGACACCTTGGGAGTGGTTCAGCCGCCCCTGTGAAAGCCCTGGCTGTAACACTTATTCTGTAACGTGAAATTGGTCGCGGAAGCCTTCAGGCACACACGATTTCCCATGAACGGCAGAGATCTCTCCATGACCACAGCATCCTGGAAGCTCCCGCGTCTATTTCGCGCGCTTGCGGTCAGATTGTCGGAGCGTTACAAAGGAATTCATGTAGATTACACAATGCTGCACGCACTCTGTATATGCAGTTACTATATGAGAGAAGTATGTTGGTGGATATAACGAAAAATACAGATATAGAAACTCATAATTTGTTCATATAAATAAATTATTTAACTATTATGGACATCCCATGGTCAAAGGCAGTAGCATCGGATATATCAAACTACTACCTTTGTTCGCCACCTAAAGGGAGAATAAGAAGAGGCAGGGGTAATCAGTTATCTGATTCTTAAGCCAGACAAACGTTAATAGAGAAGTTATTTTGCCTCTCGCGAATCTCTATTTGGACGAACCCCCCTACCGCTCCAAATGAAATTCAGAAGATACTGGCTCGGCTTTGTGAAGCAAAGTACAGGCCAGACTCGAACAGAGCAAGCTCCCAGATTATTGGAATTGTTCTGTTCGAGGGGGGCTGTGCGACACAGGTGTTTTTGGACTTAGTGAAGCTGCGGCGCAATCTGTAGTGTACTGTACATGGTCGGTGCCCCTGTCGTATGGTGCGACGGGAAGTCGCAGGCATTCTTGCACATGTTTGTGCGACGCTACATGGGTGGGTTGCAAACCCCAGAACGGAAAACCATTCAACACATCAGAAACAAGAAACACCAATTACTTGCAAAAGTATGTACAGCTGTGACTGGCCGATATCCTATCGCTAGAATCGCGAAGCTCATTGAAATGTCAAAATTGGTGCGGGAACTCATGGAGTATTTCTAAATCGAAGCCTTATAGGACATCGCGTCTGAATCATGCGGTTACGCGCACTGCACAGAATTTCTGTCTGAACTCGATGCAGTGCCGATAGGTTCTTCACAATTTTTGACACGAGCTGTGGAACAGGTTGCGCGTTACATCACCCCGCTGAGCAATGCTTCGTCAAATTTCAAGTTAGGGGGTGTGCAGATTCGCGTGTGGTTCCGGCTTCGGACTCCGAGTCCGAGCCTGTCTGATTTGGAAACAACAAATGGAATAAGTTGTTTTCCTTCGATTGGTTCCAGGTTAGTCAGCGTCAATATGTGGATCAGTTTTGAATCAATGGTTCGGGAAGGGGGCATGAGTGGGTCGGGGAGATCGCCGACAAATGAGACGCGGTCTTGACCACATTTTTGTGAGTGCCTTTGGTTGTGGCATTTATTGTATACACCCGTGAGTTGGTCGTCAGGAGCGCGCAGGGTGGCGAAAAATGACGAGACCTACGGCGAAGTACGTCTAGCACGCCATGCAGCGGTAGGGTGAACTGTAGCTGTATCGCGGGTCCCTGCAATTCTGACAGGCTAGTTGCAGACAATGGACGGGGCTTCAGAAACTATTTCGGCAATGGGCAGATCCGAAAAATTCAGAACGACACGATCGCACGAGGACGTGTGGGTGTGCAGTTGTGTGGGAGCGGCTGGAATTTACGACCTCGTCGCTATTCACCACGACTGCCATCTGGAGGTGATGACGCTGTGCTGGATTGAGTGTACTCAGCAAGGGCGACTTCCCGTGTGGGGAGGCATTTTTTGCGGACCAGCGATTCATACCCCCACGATCAACAGAAACGGAGGCCACCACCCCTGGGTGTGTATTAAGTGTTTTCCACTGGTCGCCGGAAAGCGTTATAGTGGCGGAAACAATCGCCTAAAGTTGAAGCAGTGGAAGAAGAACGACGGGAGTACTGGAGCAGTTAAGGATTAGTGGCGTTCGGGCTGATGCTCGCTCAGCTACGTCACCCGAAAATCCCCATCCCCACTAGGTAGCAGTGTCGACTTGTTAATCGACGGCTCTTGGCTGAATAAGGGGGGTGAACCTGCGAACTACACTGTGCTGATGGTGTGTCCCCGAAAATTGAAGGCGTTACTGTTGCAGGAGCTGAGGGTTTCACCTGGTGCAGTAGAAGGAGTTTCCGACCTTTGTGGGTGTAGTTTGACGAGTTTCTGACGGAGGAGGGAGCTGTCCAGCGGTCAGTAGGCGAGCTCGTTAAAGCTCTTCTGACTAGAAGCGTGCGCACTCCTATCTTTGCGGATTCTCCTTAGTTAGTTAAGCAGCAGCGAAGCGGTTTTGGGCAACCTGCGGCAATCGCGAGATGGGTGAACGTTTACACGGCCAGCTGGACAAGGGTACCGGAGAGTTTATAGATTTGATTGACAGCTGGGCAAAGATCGACGGCGTGTGATGCGCATTGACCCTGATCGACGGCCAAAACATCATGTCGAGGCGGTGGACTACGGTATTCCCTAATATAAAGGGTTCTGTTCATGCGTACAGCTGGTGGAGCAACTGTGGGGGCGCTGCTAAAGGACGACGTGACACCTGGGTGTTTTCCGGGTAGCTGTAAAGTAGTGTTGCAGTTTTGGTTAAGTATCGAGGGAGTTCCGATATTTTCGGCGTACAAGCTGGTAGCAGTCCTGAGTTTTACACTTGGAGTTATGCCCGCTATCTTCAGGGGTACGAGCGACACCGATTGATATTCTCGGAATGTTTTGGGTGCATGACGGAGGAGAAGCGCAGCAGCAATTTCGGTTTCTTCCCAAAATTTTCGGCGAGTACGAACAAAGAAGCTGATGTAGCTGGCATCATTCGACCCTTGGTTCCGTTCGAGGTTTTTAACTGGAGTGGTTTAGTACAGGTTCCAAGTCAACGCCATCGTCGTCTTCCTCTCTCCACAACCCGCTACTGCCTCCATTGCCAATTCGCCTAATTCACTTGATTGTGTGAACACGACCCCGCCTCGCCATCCGAATCGAAAACAGCAGTATCGGATTTACATCAGAATTTGCAGCAGTACTGTTGGAGCTGTGTTGGGCTAGCTTGCAAGCTGTGTTTGATTTCTGAAGATTTTTTGAGTTCGTGTGGGAGTCTCATGGAGCAGTAGTTGCGAACTTTCAAGACCTTTGAAGCGCTTTACCCTGACGCCACTCTTTGCTTGGAGAGGATTTTAGGGTTCTCATTGTTGAGGTGCTTTGCTGGCCTTACAATCTGAGGTTTACAGGATTTCAGCAGCAGTATGGGTATTTTGACTACCCTAGAGCATTGGGTTTTTTTTATTTTGTACCTGGGAACTTGGGAGCTGTTTCTTCTAGGAGGGGGAGAAGTGTAGCTGTGCTGCAATTTTCGTCTGACCCGTCGGCGTGTTCCATCATCCATCGTCGACCGACATTCATCACCGTTACACTTCCGCGCCTCTGTTCATCACCTCGTTGATGGAGTTTGCTTACTTTCGTGGGACACGGAAGTGTGATCTTGCATGTGACACGAACGACCTCGCGCGTTGATGAACAGGTCCTCGTCATCCGACTACCATGTCATTCGGCAGTCATTATGATCTACTGCAACGCGCCATCATCAATCGCCCAGTTGACAGAGTTACTGTTTACCATCTTCCCCTTGTGTATTTACCCTTGCCCATTTGATTAGCAGAAGAATTCGACCATCTTCGACGACCACGATTAAAAGCGATCGTTTCGACGTTTTCTGACCATCGATTTCAGTTCGACCTCAAGTCCTTCGTCAGGCCGGCGTAATCATTACGCTCGTCACAGGGCTGAAGACTTACAGTCACATCGAGGATTACTTTTGGTGACTGTTCGGCCTCGATAAAGGGAGTGCCTTCCTTTAGAAGGTGGGAGAGTGTAAGGAATTACCATTCCTTACTGGGGCTCGCCACATCGAGTACACGCGGACATCTTGAAAAACACACCGGTCGAAAAGCACACCGGTCCAAAAGCCGGCCCCAACCTCATCCCGAGTCGCCCCGAACCCATTTTGACCCCGTCACCCTTGGGACTATCGGGCCCTTGACTGGTCCAACCCTGGACATTCAACCTTGGTCAACTCGCACTATATAAGCCCTTGGTCTCATTTGGATAGGATCACTCTGTAATCACGTTCCCCTATAGTATTTTGCGCTATACTCTGAGTTATAATTCATTACAGCACGGGTGACCCGCCCTCGCGAGCTTGGGCTTGCCCTGCAAAAAAAACAAGGGTCGATTAAATCGTCTTAGGATTGCGGAGATATCTTATGCGACTTTGAAACGTTTTTCATGTACCGTACGTCACATTTCAAATGTGTGCATGAGAATGGCTTATGCAATAATCCTTTCTATTTTACTCTTAATATATAGCATTATTAGCATAATGCAAACACCATTCAATATGCAACTACTCTTTATTGTTTTTATGGAAATTACATTATACAGAAGATTCAGTGCAATTAATGTCGTAACGTATAGCTAATGCTAACTAAACAAATTACCCTTCACGAGCGTCATTAGGATTCGATCAGTCGACCTGTCGGATGGTGGGAACCACGAAAAACGTTAGGCTAATCAGTCAGGTTTGACAATAAATCAAATAATACCAATTCGTTGTTTTGCGTCGAACAGAAAGTCCTCCTAGGGTTTCTTTCAACTTCTCGATCCTTTCTTCACCAGCGCTGCCGCATCCTGTTGACATTCTTGACCTTCGTAAGCTTATGCCGTTTTTTGTATGGTAGGGTGGACACTAGCTTTCCTATGCATTACGAATTAGTGGGGTAGTCCATTTTTTCGTGCATGCAATTTCGACCTAATTGTCTAGGTCGTTTTTCATTCGTGCAAGCCATAGCAGTCTAGCCCGTTAGGTCGTGTCTTAGATTCTTGCGTCTTGATTGTTAAGTCGTATTTCCATTCTCCGTAGTTCCCTCTCCTTCCTTGCACTTCCTATTCCTTTGTTTCTCCTACCAAATATTTTCTTGCCTTGAACTTGTCTTTCATCTGCCCTCATATTCATTGACAGTTCTCACTTGCATGTCTACCGCACCTAACATCAAAGATTTATGCGTAACTTTTATGAAAATCAAACATTTTTCCCTTGATATTTTCGAAGGTCAATGTTGCTGAAGTTCTTGTTCTTTGGCTGCAATTCCATACTAGTCTACAATGGTGCCACCTAAAATCGGCATTACCTTCGAGAAAAAAAGGGGTGTATGTGTGTGCGTGTCTCTCTCTCACTCTCTCTCTCTCTCTCTCTCTCTCTCTCTCTCTCTCTCTCTCTCTCTCTCCCTCTCTCTCTCTCTCCTCCTCTCTCTCTCTCTCTCTCTCTCTCTCTCTCTCTCGCTCTCACGCTCTCTCTCTCTCTCCCTCTGCCTCTCTCCCTCTCTCTCTCTCTCTCTCTCTCTCTCTCTCTCTCTCTCTCTCTCTCTCTCTCTCTCTCTCTCTCTCTCTCTCTCTCTCTCTCTCTCTACGTCTCTTGTCCCTATTTTTACCTCTATCTCATGTGTCGTTCATTTCTTCAATCCTCATTTCCATTTCTCGAGTTCTATCATGCATTATCTTCTCAACTAAACTTGTGTTCTTTTCATGTTCTTTTTTTTTGCCACGTGCGTTGGTGCTTCAGGAATGCCATTAGAAAGGATCTCTGGTTTCCAACAAGACTTTTTATTTACTGTAGACTGTCACATCACATGACATGTTGAATTGGTTTCTACTTGTTGTTGCCTTTCTTTCTCATCGTGATGCATTTTGGAGTGCAAGTGTTGTGTCGCTGCCATTTGTTTTGCGTTGCTGCCCTTCTCCATTCTGTTACTGCTTGCATGATACATGGGTAGTGCACTTGTACTGATCGTCTCAAGTAAAGTTCTTTGACTTCCCATTCTGAGTGTAGTCACTTGAACTAGAGATGATAGGTGCAATATATTTTCTTGCAATCGAAAAGTGCATTGCCTGAAAAAAATGTTGTTTGATTTATCAATTAGGCTTTCAACTTCCCCCACTTAGTTGGGGAGGTGATTGCCTGTTTTTGTTGCCAACAAAAATACGCCACGCGAAATCATGGAAAACATTTACATTTTTGTTATCGTTTTCCATCATTTTCCAATACTATAGTATAATTACTACATTAGACTATATTACACATTTCAATTACTCCCTTCCACGTATCAGGAAATTATGGAAAACATGAACTCTTTTCCATCATTGTTTCGTTTCAAGTATTATGCTGTAGTAGTGATATGACACATGTTTCAATTATTTGTCAAGCGACGCTAATAAAGATATGTAGTTTAGATGAGCCATCCACAATATATTACCCATATTTCCCATCATTTTCCTTCAATTGGTATCATTTTTTTAAATAAAACTTGAAAAAAAAATCTCGTCAGATCGATCGCAATAGGTTGCTCCCCAACCCAAAAAACAGCAGCTGCGCGTACTGTCTCTTGGTGAGCACATGTCACCAAAGCCTAGGTTCTTTTCTCGCCATATCACGCCCAAAATTTCTCATCTGCCCTAAGAGAGCATGTTTTTGTTGCGCAAAGTTTAAATTTGCTCCTCTCTCCTTTCACATGCGGTTTCCGCGATTTGGTTGCGTGGCTTACGAGTGAAGGTCGGAAAGTGCTCCTAGTTTGGGTGGTAACCAGTGCTCGCTTGAGGAGCTTCCTCAACGTCAACGTCGACGTAGACGTCGTCAAATGCCTGCAGAACCCAGCGCTGAACATTCAACGCGCTCTCCGCCGATTTGGGCTCTCTTGTTTTGAGACTGTTGCTCGTAGCTGTGTGCCTCTGCCTTTTGGTCTGCACTCTTTCCTCCTCCATCCAGATCTTCTTCGGCACCTTCGTCCATCTATCCTATCTCGTGTTCTTGCCGAACTACGCAGTTTTCTGACCCTCAACTCTACGATACATCCTTCCCGACTTGACCCGTCGTGTATACTTGCTGAGCCGCTCGCCTTTAACCGTCTTCTTCTTAGACCCAATGGTATGCCCTTCGGACGTAAGAAGAATGAGCAATTTCTCTTGCATCGTCAGCTCCGTGTGGGTCACCTCGTACGAATGGACGGCTCTGGTGCCTGGCCCGCGTCCCTGGCCGAACTCCGTCTAGCCTTCCCTCCCGCCATGTTCCCTGGTGGTGGCAGCATCCTACGTTCCATCTCCACTGCCATTCCAGTCTCCTGGTGGATAGCCTTGCTTTCCTTCTCCCCCCCTTCTCCTACATTCCGGATCAGTGATTGGATTGTTCACTCTAACACACCCTCCTCCTCTCCCAATTCTGTGTACCTCATTACCAGCCTCCATTCCTCCTTCTCTATCTCAACCCGAGCCTTTCTTGTGGACACCGACGGGAGAATTGCCAAGAACCATCATGCTTCCCCATCGCTCCCCCGCTCTTCCGCAACAGCAGTGCACGTACAGGACAGTGTCAGAAACCCAGTCACTAACCACTGGGTTAAAAGGGCTTGTTGAATAGCGGGTAAGTGCGCCCATAGCCCCCCAGGCTCTGCACCTGTGGCCCTTCCCCGAGGATCTCAAGGTCAACCCCAGCGGGTCACTCAACACCCCCCCCCCCCCGCTGGGATAGGTGGAAGACACAAGCGCCTCTGCAGCGCTGGCACTGGGAGTTGAACCCAAGACCTTTGGCTCTGATACCATGTCAGAAACCCAGTCACTAACCACTGGGTTAAAAGGGCTTGTTGAATAGCGGGTAAGTGCGCCCATAGCCCCCCAGGCTCTGCACCTGTGGCCCTTCCCCGAGGATCTCAAGGTCAACCCCAGCGGGTCACTCAACAGACAGGTGGTATGCAGGGGCCTTTTGCGCGGGAGCAGGGTTAGGGGCGCGGCTTGAGGTGCTGAGCGTCGGTCTGCCTTCCCTGGTCCGCATTCGCGGTCTGCTCTATGTGCAACGGCCACTCAACCACTTCAGCCGCTGGGCTTCGGCTCTTCCTTCCTCACCTCCTCCTACAGTCCCTGACTTCTCCCATGACTTTCTCAGAGAACAACCATGCTTGCAATGTGACATCCTTTATCGCCTTTACTCTCGGTCGTTTTCATCTGGCTCCCACTTCACTTCTGCCACTGACAGAGGCATCTGCACCTGCTGCACCTCTGGAGTCGTTGAATCCCTCTCCCACATCTTTTTTGAATGCGATGTCGCCGGTGCTGTGACCTCTGCTCTTCAACGTGTCGCTTACCGCCACCTCGGTGTTTCCGTCTCTTCAGAGCTGTCCTTGTTTCCTCTTCAAATCCAGGCCGGCCAGGTTGCCCCATGGAGTCTCCTAGTGGGGGCAGCTGCCAAAACATTATGGAACTTGTGTTGTGCCAGGAAATTCAACGATGCACCAGTCAACATTGTGGAAGCTCTTCACTCAGTTCTCACAACCTTTCTTTTAGCTTGGAAGATATTCTGTTGGCGGAGGGCCGGCCAGTCCATCAAGAAACAGCGCCACTCCCAGTCACGGATTTCGTACGCTATCAAGTTCCGGTTGCTCTCCCGCTCGAAGGACAATCAATTCCACCTTCATCCGGAGTTCAAAAATTCCTGGCTGCTTAGTAATGCCTTTCGCCCTCCTTAGCGTAATTGTCTCTTCGTATCCTTGTACAGTTCAGGACAGGAGCCTCCCGCCCCTTCAGAGGCATAATGTGTTCTATGTGCTCCCGTTAGGGTAGTTAGCTTTTAGCTATATGCCTTCATGCACTGTACCCTTGTCCCGGTTACGACGAATCCCCACGAAGAATCCCCTGGTCCAGCAGCAAAATCTGCCCCAACCGACGGCTCCATTTCACTGGATCAAACGCATGCTCCGGTTCACGCGATTGGTTGCGTTCGCCCAAACCTCTAGGTGCGGAGCCATCCATACCACCGCCACGCCAGCTCGTCCAAACCTGAACCCCAATGAGTCAGCTAGGGCGTCGGTCAGCCACAACAAGCCCCGCAACTGCACTCCTCCCATGCCAACCAAACCTATGTTGCCCCACCGCGCCCCTGCCTTCAGCAAGAACACCTGCTGTCCGCACGAACCCAATCCGATTTCCTTCCGCTTCCCTCTTTCCCCCCCCAAAAATCCCCAGGGTTTGTCTGTTGTTCGGGGCGGAACTTACCAAACCAACCAGCCCCCCCGCTGGGACGGGCACCCTTGGGGCCTCGATTTCTCCCCATAAACTGGCGCCTGGTCCGGGAGTCTGGTCCGGAGTCCGGACCAGACCAGACAAGCGTGTTGCTGCAGCAAACGTCAGCAGAAACACCCTTGGGAACTTGGTTTCTTCCAGGGCCTCACGACTGGAAATTTTGAAAGGGGATTCTTCCAGATTTGAATATTGATGCCTCGAAATATGGCTAAATGTCGCGGTTTGCTGCATTTCTGAGGTCCCAGTGACGCAGCGCTCGTCGACAGGGTCAGAATAGGATTTGAAACGGAAAATTTCGGGCCCGTTTTAAGAAACCCGGATTTGATTCCGGCACGGTTTGGCTGGAGAACATTCGGAATTTCGGTGAAATTCTGGATGATTACCCGTCTAGCGTGAGCCACTGGCGTTGTCGGGCCAATTCCCCCTGGGAACTTGGTTTCTCCTAGAGCCTGTAGCCGATTCTAGCCTCGGGTCGAGAGAGACTCGAGAGAGCCTGTCGAGCGAAGGGGGGGAGAGGGGCGGCTCGTGCAGCAGAGCCATTCGGGCCTCCCAGGTCATTGGACGCGCATCTCGCTGCACAGGCTAGCAGCAGATCTAGCTTGTCTTCCCAGCGGGCTACTGCGGTGCTGGGAGTCGTGCGGAGCGAGTTGGAACGAGAGGCGGCGCCATTGCAGTGCCGTGAAGTTTCTAACTTGACTCCATGTCCTGCTCGCCCTTGCGCTCCCAGCATCTGTCGCGAGTCCAGTCGAGTCCCAAGCTCAGGAGTCGAAAGGGATTAAGCTGCGTATTCCGACTGGCTCGAGCTTGACCCTCGAGATTCCGGGACAGCGTCTCGAGTGACTCGAAAGGAGTCTGTCCCGCCGAAAGGAGTCGCCCAGCCTCCCACTGCTCCCAGCCGCTCTCCCTGCGTTTCACGCCGCGCATTCCACGCATTCCACGCTGCTCCCATCGCCAAAATCTCCAGACTTTTCTAAAGCTTGTGCGTTAAAAGCCACGCGAAACGACCGATACAAAGGCCGAAGTCTGCTCCCTTTTCCGTAAACGGGGTCTGGTAGCAAAGGCGCTTGAGTCGTCTCAATAATAGGGGCGGACACGTGGCGCCGCCAGAATGGTGGCGAGTCTGTTCGTCGAGGCGGCACGTGGCGCGCAGCTAGAGGTGCTGCGACAGGCGACGGTATGGGATCGCATCGCCGTCGCGACGACGCTCGCGGTAACATTCGCGAAAGAGCTCGTCGGCATTTTCGGCAACGCGCCGTACGGGTTTCACGCCATGGCGATGTATCGAAGCGTGTTCTACGCTAGTAAGCGCGGCTTAGAAGGTCCGCGGAGCAATGGCGGAAGCGGAAGCGGAGCCGGGGAAATGGGCGCGGACGCGGAGGGGGAGATCGCGCACAGGGAAGCGGGAGACGCGGAAAGCCCGTCGGCGGCGCGGCGGTCGGCGATCGGGATCCGCAAAATGCGGAGGCAGCTCACGTCGACAGGTAGAGTCGGGCGGTGGAGGGGGGGGGGGGTGGGGGGGAGGGGGTGGGGGGCGATGGGGCACGGAAAGGGATGGCGTGGGTAAATGGGGCACGGAAAGGGATGGCGGGGGGAAATGGGGCACGGAAAGGGATGGCGGGGGGAAATGGGGCACGGAAAGGGATGGGGGGTTGGGGGATCGGGAAAAGGGCGCAGGGCAGGGAGAGGGGAGGGGGAGAGGGGGGGAGGTGAAACAAGTGAGCGAACGCGAGATGGGCAGAGAGAGGAGAAGGGGCTGATGAAGACAGAGCAAAGCCGGCTGATGCTATAGTGCTAACTGTTGACGCGTCTGTCGTAACAATGGGGGCTGAGATTTGCCTCTCTTTTTCCTCCTCCGCTGCGGCTCCCGTAACTTTTTCCTGGCTTTGCTTGGCATGACGTGGTGTGACCTGGCGTGACCTGGCGTGACATGGCACGGCGTGGCTTCTGACGTGGAATGATGTGGCTGTTCAGTGTGGAACTGGGCGTCGTCGATGGAAGCGATGCTGTGGCAGGGTTTGCCACATGGCGGCGTGCGAGTGGTCTACGACATTCGCTACGGGCCTCGTCCACGCAACACGTATGCATGGGATAACATGGGATGGGATGGGATGCATAAGACGGGATGAGATGGGATGGGATGGGATGGGAATGGGTTGGAATGAGATGGGATGGGATGGGATGGGACAGGATGGGATGCGAGACAGCTATATTTAGGTTCTCTTTCTATTTGTATTGCTGCCCTCCGGACACCGTCCTGCTTGTAACCTATCTGATCCTCTTTGGATTGAACTTTAACAATCTAGTGTTCCCCCCCGCAGCTTGCTCTCTTGCTGACCGCAGCCTTTGACATCTACACGCCACCGGGTCTGACACCGGACAGCCTTTGAGGCGCCCTCAGTTTGAATGCAGGTCTCTAAACTCGAGCATAGCTTTTACCCCTGTTTGCTCCCTTGCTTACCGCAGCCTGTGACATCTACATGCCACCGGGACTGACACCAGACAGCCTTTGAGGCGCCCTCCTTTCCCCCTTGCCCACTGCAGCCTTGACATCTACATGCCGCCAGATCTGACACCGGACAGCTTGTGAGGCGCCCTCAGATGCCGATATTCAGAACCGAGCTTCTCTTTCCGCTGTTTGCTTCCTTGCCCACTGCAGCCTTGACATCTACATGCCGCCAGATTTGGCGCTGGACAGCAACGCAGCAGAAACCAGCAGCAGTGTCAGCAAAGGAAGCCGCAAGGGGCGGCCGGTATTGTTTTTTGTGCATGGTGGGGTGTGGGCGAGTGGCGAGAAGTGGATGTATTCTCCCCTCGCAATTCGATTCGCTCAGTCCGGCGCAGTGGTGGTTACCATTCAGTACACTCTTTACCCCGAGGTATTTTAAATCCTACCCCTTGATGACTCGGATTCCCATTGATTGATGCAATACCTACCTCTTATGTGCAATCGACTCTTTGCAGTCTGAGACTGGGGAGTGTCAGCTTTCAGTACACTCTTTGCTGTAGGGCACTTCAGCACAATACCCTCCCTCCACTCAGTTGTCTCCCTCTCAACTCAACCACCTTGCACTTGTTCACCTCTCTCTACCTCCTCTTCCCCCAAGTCCTCGTTATAGATCAAGTGTAGGGCCCTCATTATACTGCAAGGGATGTCTGCAGCCCTCGCGTAGACCACGGACCACATCCTCGAGCTCGGGGGCGACCCCTCGCGCATCTTCCCCTCAGGCTTATCAGTGCTTACTTCCGTTTCTTTTCCTCCCAACCCTTCTTTCTCCAGGCACTGGCGATAGACCAGGTGCAAGAAACATCAGCAGCGCTCTCCTGGGCCATAAACCACATCCACGAGCATGGGGGCGACCCCTCGCGCATCCTCCTACCTTTTGCCTTCTCATCCCTTCCTTGATCCCTATGTCCTCTCCACCCACTCCCTCCCCCCCCCACCCAGGCCCTCGCCATAGACCAGGTGCAGGATATCTCAAAGGCTCTCTCCTGAGCCGTGGACCACATCCACGAGTACGGGGGCGACCCCTCGCACATCTTTTTCTTGGGCTGATAACCACTCACTTCCCTCTGTTCCCCCTCCCAACCCTCGACCCCCCCAGGCTCTTGCCATAGACCAAGTGCAGGAGACGTCCAAGGCTCTCTCGTGGGCCATGGACCACATCCAGGAGTACGGGGGCGACCCCTCACGCATCTTCTTCTCTGGCCACTCCTCCGGTGCGCACGTCTGCTCCATGGTCGTCTGGCGCCGCCTGCGCTCCCGCCTCCGACAGATGTTCCACGCCAATGCCACGGCTGTAGCACCACCCACGGCTGTAGCACCAGCGGATGCAGCTCCCACAAGCGGGGCGGCGTGTGTAGCAGCCACTGCTGAGCCTGACAGCAGCAGCAGCAGCAGCAGCAGCAGCAGCAGCAGCAGCAGCAGCAGCAGCAGCAGCAGCAGCAGCAGCAGGGATTCAGATTCTGCAAAGGCTTCACCCAAGGGTGAGGATCTATGGGCTCTAGACGAGGAGGACCTCCGGCAGCCATACTGCTTCTTCGGCATGAGTGGGGTGTACGACATAGCGCACCACCAGCGGCACGAGCAGAGGCGAGGCGTGTACGCTCTCTCTGCCATGTCGCCTGCTGTTGGGGGGCCGAGCCGGTTCCTCTGCTCATCACCTGCTCTGCTGTTTGACGCCCTGGCGTCTGCTGCTGCTGACGCTGCCAGTGCTGCTGCTGAGGCGGCTGATGTGGCTGCCGGCGCAACTGCTGCTGGCGCTGCTGCGACTAACGCTGCTGCTGCGTCGTTCAGGGCGTCGTTTGACTGCCCTACGAGCCCTGTCTCAACCCCTGCTGCAGCTTCTCCTTCTCCCCCTGATGCCTGTTTTCTGGAATCAGGTGCGGTGGCGGCTGCATCGGCGTCTGCTGAAGGTAATATGGTGGAGGAAGGAGGCGCGAGCAGTAAACAGGCGGCCAGAAGCCGTGCTCTGGAGGAGCTTGCATTCGTTAGTGCTGCTGCTGCTGCTTCCCTCCGGCCCTCCCTCTCTGCCGCCCTTAAGTCGGCATCGCCGCCATCCCGCTCAAATTCCACGTCAGCTGGTCCTAGTAACATGTCAGCTGGACTGGATGCCACGTCAGCTCGCCCGCCTCCAGTGAAGCCCTCTCCCAGCCTTGTGAGTGCAATCTCCCACCGCGAATCAGCTGCCGCCAAATCACCATTGATATCATTCTCGTCAGCGTCATCAGCAGCCGCAGCAGCAGCAGCAGCCGGAGGTTTAACAGGCGCACACACAGCAGCAGATGCTGCTACCAAGTCAGATGCTGTATTAACAGGGGGAAAGAGTGCAACCACCGCTGCCGATGTTGTGGACAGTGCGGGGGGGAAGAATGCAACCACCGCTGCAGATGCAGTGAACAGGGCGGGATCAAAAGAAGCAGCAAAACAGGCTCTGAGAGCGCACCTCCTGACCTCGTCAGGGTACACCAACCCTGCCAGTACTCTTCCTGCCAAATCCGTGCCTGCTTCTTCGCCTCTACAGCCTGCTGAAGAGTTCACCGTCCCCCCTCCTTTCTCCTACACCTCCTCTTCCTCCATCGATTCTTCCCCCGCCAATGCCGCAGCAGCACCGGCATCTGCGGACGCCTCTTCAAGCAAGGCCTCTTCTCACCCCTCGGATCAAGAGGGGGATCTGTCCTCTGATTCCTTCACCTCCTGTTTCCTCGCCCCATCTCCCCTGTCCCCTCGTGATATCCTGAGGTTGGAGCTGGGTGCAGGTGTGGCCGAAGCTGTTGTGGCTTCTCTGGTCTCCGGCCAACTCAACCTCGTTTCCTCCTCCTCACCTTCCTCCTCTTCCTTTTCCTCCTCCTCTTCCTCCTCCTTCACCTCCTCCTCCTTCACCTCCTCCTCTTCTTCGCCTTCCTCCTCCTCCTACTCTTCTCTCTCTTCCTCCTCCCTCACCTCCTCCCCCTCCTCTCCCTTCTCCACGCCTCTCCTCCCAATCATGCTCCTCCAGTGTAGCACAGCAGACTATGTCGTCCCCCCCGAAACCAGCCTCTCTCTCATCCGTTCCCTGCACCGCCTTAACTCCTTCCTCTGCCCCTCCTCCCCTGCTAGCCTGGTAAAGCTCGGGGGAAGTGGGGGAGAGAGGGGCGGACTGGTTGATGGGAGAGTAGGAGGATTAGACGGAGCAGGAGTGGGGATAAGGGCTAAGGCGTTGGTGTATGATGATGCTGGCCATCCGGACTTTGCGTGCTGGGCTGTGAGAGGGGAGAGGAGAGGGAGAAGGGATGGGGAGGAGAAGGGAAGGGAGAAGGGGAGGGAGAATGGTGGGAAGGCGGGAGTGAGGCATGGAGGGGAGAGTGGGGAGGTTGGGGAAGGGGGGAAGGGAGAGAAAGGAGAGTGGAAGGGGGGGATGTTGATGAGAAGCAAGAGTATGAGGAAATTGAGTCAAAGTGGGGAGGGAGGCGAAGGCGGGGATGGGGATGAGAGAGAGGGAGGGGCAGGGCAGGTTTTATCCAGTGGAGGTGCTTCGGATGAGATGGCATGTGTGAGGGACAGCCTTGATATCGTCACTGGGCGAGTGTCCCTGGAGGATATGGTGTGGCAGTAGAGCGAGGAAAGCATTGTGTGATTCATGGACTTCGAAGTAAGAACATTAGGGGGGTTGAAACTGTCAAATGTAACTTAGGCGTTACTGTAGACTATACTGGTTTGTGCCTTAGAGGGTGCAACACCCGTCTATATGCCTCTATCCTTCTATTCTAGCCACTTACTCATTCTGTTATGGTATCATAGTAGGTTAGGTCCCCCCCCTAGCCCGCCCGAGCTTCCGCCCTAGGCCCTAGCCGCCGCCGCGCCCGACTCTAGCCGTCGCGCCCGTCCCTAGCTGCCGTCTTGCCCATTCCTAGCCGTCGCGGCCGCCCCTAGCCATCACGGCCGTTCCTAGCCGCCGTCGCGGCCGTTCCTAGCCGTCTCGCGGCCGTTCCTAGCCGTCGCGGTCGTTCCTACCCGCCGTTGCGACCGTTCCTAGTCGCTGTCGCGGCCGTTCCTAGCCGTCGCGGCCGTTCCTAGCCATCTCGCGGCCGTTCCTAGCCGTCGCGGCCGTTCCTAACCGTCGCAGCCGTTCCTACCCGCTGTCACGGCTGTTCCTAGTCGCCGTCGCGGCCGTTCCTAGCCGTCTCGCGGCCGTTCCTAGCCGTCTCGCGGCCGCTCCTAGCCATCACGGCCGTTCCTAGCCGCCGTCGCGACCGTTCCTACCCGCCGTCGCAGCCGTTCCTAGTCGCTGTCGCGGCCGTTCCTAGCCGTCGCGGCCGTTCCTAGCCACCGCCTCGGCCGTTCCTAGCCGTCTCGTGGCCGCTCCTAGCCATCACGGCCGCTCCCAGCCGCCGTCGCGACTGTTCCTAGCCGCCGTCGCGGCCATCCCTAGCCGTCTCGCGGCCGTTCCTAGCCATCGCGGCCGTCCCTAGCTGCCGCCGCGGCCGTCCCTAGCTGTCGCGCCCGTTCCTAGCCATCGTCGCGACCGCCCTGCCCGGCCTCCTGAGCCGTCGCGCCCGCTCCTAGCCAGCCCCGTCGCGCCCGCTCCTCGTCGGCCCCGTGCCTGCTCCTTGCCGGCCCCTCGCGTCTGCCGCCCCCCGGCCCCGCGTTCGCTTCGTCGCCGGCCCGCCGCCGACTTGTGCCCGGCCCGTTCTTCCCGACCAGCACCGCCCTGCACCCCCCCCCCCCCGGGTACCGCTTTGCACCACACTGCACCGCTTTGCACCGCATTGTACCGCTTTGCACCGCACTATACCGCTTTGCACTGCACTGCACCGCTTTACACCGCACTGTACCGCCCTGCACTGCACCTCACCGCACGGAACCGCACTGCACCGCGTTGCACCGCACTTCATCGCACTGCACCACACGGCGCCGCACTGCACCGCTCTATACCGCCCTGCATCGTTCCTGATGGCAGAGGTGCTTCGCTTTGACGCTGAGGGCAAGCCGATTGAATTTGAGGCGTGGCTGGTCGACCTCCGCCGCCACCTCATTGGTCAGCGGCAGGATGGCCACTCGCTGTCCACCTTGACGGTACGCTCCCCTGCCCTGAACCCCCTTCTGCGCTGCCCGCTGACCCCTCGTCTGCTGAGCGTAAGTCCGCTGCAGCCGCTGCCCTTGCTCGCTCCGTCTGGCTGTCGTGTGATGCTGTCGCACAGCTTGCTATCAGCCATGCCCTCCCCCTGTCTGAGCACCCTCGCTTTAGGTCCGTCACCACTGCCCAGGCTCTCCTAGATGCCGTTGTCCAGCGTTATTCCACCCCGCCCACTGCCTCGGTAGGTCACCTGATCCTCCCCATGCTCTTCCCTGACCTTGCGTCGTTCCCCACTGTCGCTGACCTGGCCGCCCAGCTGCGCACGATAGACGAGACCTGGAGCACTGCCTGTACTGACACACAGCTTCGCGCTCACCAGCCGCCCCTCTGCTCTGCTCTCTACCTGCTGGCCACCCGCCTCCCTGACCGCCTTGCCACTGCCCGCGACCGCTTCCTTAGCGTCCACCCCGGTGACAAACCCTCACTGACTTTGTTGACACCCTGTCCGCCATAAAGACCTGCCACCGCTCTATCGCCCAGACCAGCGATACTGTGCCAGTCCCTATCTTTCAGGGTTGTGCCCCCGCTCAGTGCACCTTCTCCGACGGTTCTGCTGCTGTGGCTGTGACGGTTCTGCTGCCGCGGCTGCAGCACAGTTCCGTTCGGGGAAGGGTCGCCGCCCCAAGGCTGGGCGCGGCGGTGGGGGTGGGGGTGCAGGTGGAGGTGGTGGTGGAGTTGGGTCACCTGGTGGTGGCGCGGACGAGGGGACCCTGCCAGGTGCAGCCAAGCAGCCGCCTCGGCAGCCGCAGGTGTCACAGCCGGACACGCGCCAGCTGCTGCAACAGCCCTCGCCCCAGCCGTAGCCGCCGCAGCAGCCGCAGCAGCCGAGGCGGGCGAGTGGTCTCCCGCGCGGGTGGCCTAGCGCTGGTGGTGGCGCTGGACGTGGTGGTCGTGCGCTTGGTGGGCTGCCGGGTGGCGGTTCGGGTGACGCACGCTGTCAGTACCAGCTCCAGACCGGTCCTCGCCGTGGCTTCGTTTGCGGTAAGATCGGTCACACCTCCGTCCGCTGTTTCCGTCGCCTGGACGACCTGTTTCGTCAGCGCTTCGGCCCGTCGCCCGACCTCCCAGACTGGCACAGCTTGCTTCGTCGTAGCATTCAGATTTTTTATATGGACATGGATGACATTGTTGCTGCCCTGCATGTGATGTATGCTGATGACTCTAGTGTGCTTCCTTCTTATTACCCCTTATTGCCTAGTGTAGGTGTGCCTAACTTAGACTCCCCTACTGCATCAGGCGTAGGATCCCCTGCTTTGTTTAGCCTTGGTGCTTCCGTCGCTACTTCGCCTCCGACCGCCACTGCTGCGCTTTCCTTCACCTTGGACTCTGGCGCTTCCCGGTGTTTCTTCCGCGACTCCACCACGCTGACGCCGCTTCCTGTTCGTGCTGCAGTTTCTCTTGCTGACCCCTCCAACGGCCTGGTCGTTGCCCGCAGTTCCACCACCCTCCCTTGTCCGGCGGTTCCTTCGGGCTCTCTCACAGGTTTGCACATCCCCTCGTTCTCCAGGAACCTAGTTGGCGCCGGCTGCCTCTACGACCTTGGCGTCACCACTACGTTCCCTGGTCACGAGCGGTACGCTGTCTGTATCGAGGCCGCCACTGGTGCCCCCCTCACCACGTTCCCCCTGGACCCGGTGTCCGGACTGTTCACACTGGACACCGTGACCCCCCCGGCTGGGACGCCCCCCCAGGTGGCTGCGTCTACTCAGGTTGCTGCTGCGTGCTCGTCTCGGTAACTCACTCACCCGACTCTCCTGTGGCACCACTGCCTAGGTCACCCTGTGCTCCCGCATCTGCGTCACATGTCCCAGCACGGTCTCGTCCTAGGCCTCCCCGGGTCGTTCCCCGAGTTTCCCTCCTCCCCAGCCCCACCTTGCACGCCCTGTGTCGAGGGCCGGCTCCGCCGTGCTCCTCACTCCTCCTCGTTTCCCCCTGCCGCCGCACCGCTACAAACTCTGCACATGGACGTCTGGGGCCCCGCCCCCGTCCATGGGCCGCGTAGAGAGTGCTACTTCCTAGTGGTTGTCGACCACTACACGCGCTACACTACGGTGTTCCCCTCTGGAGCGGAAGGCCGACGTGCCTGACGTTCTCATCCCGTGGCTTGTCTCTGCGTGTGTCCACTGCGGTCTCCCTGTCTTGTGTCTCCACTCCGATGGCGGTGGCGGGTTTGCCTCTGGTGTCCTTGGTCGTTTCTGCCGTGCGGAGGGCATCACCCAGACGTTCACCTTGCCGGACTCCCCGCAGCAGAATGGGGTCGCTGAGCAACGCATCGGTTTGGTCATGGAGGTGGCTCGCACCTCCATGATCCATGCCAGTGCACCCCATTTTCTGTGGCCGTTCGCCGTTCGCTACGCCGCTCACCAGCTTAACCTGTGGCCGCACCCCCAGCAGCCGCAGGTTTCGCCGACCCTCCTTTGGTCTGGGTCACCTCGTGACGCGTCTGCGTTCCACGTCTGGGGCTGCCTTGCTCACGTTCGTGCCTCCGGCACGGACAAGCTCACTGCCCGCACCCTTCCCTGTGTCTTCCTCGGTTTCCCCCTTGACGCGTCCGACTGACACTTCTACCACCCGCCATCTCACCGGTTCTTTCACTCCTGCGACGTCACCTTTGACAAGTCCATCTCCTTCTACCGCCGCTTCCCCCACCGAGGTCCCCCGGTTACTCCCCCCCTGTTCCTGGTGACCCGTTTCCCGGTGGTCCCTGCCCCTCCCCCTCCCCCTCCCCGTCCTGCCCCCTCTGGTGTGTCCCACGTCACCCCGCTTACGTCGGTTGTCCCGGTCGAGGAGTCTGCGGACTCTGGTGGTCCTGCGGCGCAGTCCTCGCCGCCTGCCCCTCCTCAGGTGTCTCCTCCTCCGCCGCCTCCGCAGCCGCCGTCGCCACCGCTGTCGCCGCTGCCGTCGCCGCCGCCGCCGCCGCAGCCGTCGTTGTAGCCGCCGCCGCCGCCGCACCCGTCGCAGCAGCAGTTCGTTGACCCTCGGGGTGCTGGAGTTGGGGTGGGTACTAGTCCTGGGACTCCTGTTGTGGCTTGTCCCGGCGGGCCTGGGGTGTTAGAAATAGACTGCAAATACCACATTTGTATTTGTACTTTTATATCCTAATTTAGGTTATGAATGTTCTAGTGGGTTGGGGTGTACTCACAAATCCCAACCTCACCCAATTGTGATCCCCCCAATCTCCACACGCGGATCAAGGTCCTAATCTCAACGTGCCCGCGCTACGCGCACTTCATCGTCGCGACATTCGTTTCGAATCGTCGGGATTTCGACGTGCTCCACTCTGCAGTCGCGCCTCTCATCGTCGACCGCCTTCGCGCTCGACCTCGTTGAATTTCTCATCTCTAAAGCTTTCACGCTTCTCATCGTCGATTTCTTCCTCGGTTCTCCTTGGTCGAATCTCAATTTCGACCATCTCTTAAAACTCGTTCTCGAGTTTCCCCTCAGACCCCGCCAGAATAGGTGAACTCCCCTCGCGAAATCGCCTCCACGAACGTCTCGCGTCAAATCAAGAGCAGGTACACAGGTTGAAGCGGAGCGGAGCTGGTTGCGGAGCTGGTTGCGGATCTGTGTGACAGGGCCAGGGGGACAGGGACAGGGCCTGGGGGTGTGTGGGGGGGGTGTGTGGGTCCGGGG